GGTTCTTTTTAGCTATATATGACAGCAGAATCCATTCTGATATAATTATACAAGCATGGAAYATATCTTATTCTAGTTGGAGTCCCATTCTTACGGATGGACATGGTGGTTAAGATTCACTGTATTGTTTTCATATATGTACACGGGAAAACTATGTCAGATTCATTCCACTGTCTTTCCTTTGYTTATCACCCCCATCCCTCCACTCCCCATGTCTACTGCGCTTCTATTCTCCCTCTCACCRACCCCCTTATTGTGGATTAGCTTCCACTTATAAGAGAAAACAYTGAACCTCTGGTTTTGGGGGACTGGCTTACTTCACTTAGCATGACAGTCTCCAGATCCATCCATTTGCTGGGAAATGTCATAAAGTCATTCTTCTTTATGGCTGAGTAATACTCTACTGTGTATATATACTACATTTTCTTTATCCATTCATCTATTGAACAGGTCCTAGGTTGGTTCCATACTTTACTATTACAACAGCTACAAACATTGATGTGGCTGCATCACTGTAGTATGTTGATTTGAACTTCTTTGGATACATAACCAAGGAGTGGGATAATGGGTCAAATAGTTGTTCCATTCCAAGCTTTTTGAGAAATCTCCATACTCTTTCTAGAGTGGCTGCACCAACTTGCAGTCTCACCAGCAATGTATAAGTGAACGTTTTTCCCCACATCCTCTCCAACACTTATTATTATTTGCATTCTTGAAAATTGTCATTCTGACTGGAATGAGATGGAATCTCAGTATAGTTTTAATTTGCATTCCTCTAATTGCTAGAGATGTTGAACATTTCTTCATATATTTGCTGACTATTTATATTTCTTCTTCTATGAAGCATCTGTTCAGTTCATTTGCCCATTTATTGATTGGGTTATTTGGTTTTATTTTGGTGTTAAGTTTTTTGAGTTCTTTATACATCCTGGAAATTAATGCTCTATCTGAGTTTCAGGTGGCAAAGATTTTTCTCCCATCCTGTTGGCTGTCTCTTCACGCTCACCTCATACAAGATAAAGGTGCCAATAACATATTGGAGAAAAGACAGCCTCTTCAACAAATGGTGCTGGGAAAACTGGAAATCCATACATAGTAGAATGAAATTTAACCTGTCTCTCAGCCTGCAMAAAACCCAGCTCAGAGTGGATCAAGAACCTAGGTATTAGACCAGAAACCCTGCACATACTAGAAGTAAACATAGGCCCACACTCCAACATATCAGCACAGGAACTGACTTCCTTAATAAGAAAAGCACAGGAAGTAAAATCAATTATCAATAAATGGGATGGCATCAAACCAAAAAGCTTCTTAACAGTTTTGTCTGTAATTCTGAGAAATAAGAAACCACCTGAAATGTCGAACAGTAGGCAATTATGTAAATTGATTCAATCTACCATTTTAATATAAGCCTTTATGAAATATTACACAGTCACTAAATAATGCATTCTATCAGTAATGAGATGGAAAGCTAATGATGTCACTCGCTGTCAAAGGCCAAAACCAAACTATTCTATATATTGATAAGGACAATCATGTGGACTGGACATATCACACCAAATTCTGGGTCTTCCTCATTCACAGAAAAAAAAAAAAAAAAACTTTCTTTGTATTGCAGATTGAACCCAGGGTTACTCTGCTATTGAGCTACATTCAATCCCTTTTTAAATTTTGTTAAGTTTTTATTTCAAGACAGGGTCTCATTAAGTTACCTAGGCCCTCGATTAAGTTGCTAAGGCTGGCCTCAAACTTGCCATCGTCATACCTCAGCCTCCTGAGTTGCTGGRATTATAGGCATGTGCCCAGCTTCAAAAAAAATTTTTAAAGAAAGAAAGAGTATCCAGAATAGGTCACAGCAGATAAACTCAGGCCTTCACAAAATGCGCTTCCCAGGTCTCCTCCAGCCAGGGAGCGCCCCACATTATCATTTAGAAGAACTGATGAGACAAGGTCTCACAGAAGACTGAGATGGCTCACTAACTTCCCACCTCAGGGCCTTCCCCAGCGACCACATCCTTGGCTAACAAAGACCCACARGAAGCAGCGTGTGGTTCCCACGTGTCAGTGAGTACTGAGGCAGCACAGAGAACACACCAGAAAGGACTTTTTGTGCCAGAAGACCTGGGTTCAAAGACTGAATAAGTCTCATCCACTCTGGGCTTCCAGCCTCCATGTGTCCATTGAGGGCTGGCTGGATGACATGGTGCCCCAGCTCCTCCAGCTGATGTCCTGGCCCCACCCCACACCTCTGGACTCCACGCCCTGAGCTCCGGCATTCCTCCCTCTGGTCCACACCACCACAGCAGCCTTTCACCTCATCATCTGGCCACCAGCCTTCTCCTCTCCAAAACTTGCTCCTCACAATCGCCAGAGTGAGTCATCTTTTGACAGCACAATTCTGGTCCTTTCCCCCCACAATTAAAATCCATCACTGGTTCCCTTTCACCTTCAGGACAAAAATCAAACAAAGCAGCATAATGTTCAAGAGCCTGTGGGTTGGGACCCCAGCCTGCTTCACAGGCCCAGGGCATGAGCAGTGCCCTAAACTCACCATGCCTGCCCCACTCTCTCATACCACACATGCATCCTGAGAGGGATGCTCTCCCAGCCCTCTCCACCTGTCCAGTCCTGACTTGTCCCTCCTGCTCCTCCAAGAAAGCGTCCCTGAATCCCCCAGCAGGCCCAGACCCGACCCATGCCCCTCAGGGCCTGCACTTCCACATTTCACCAATGGACTATTTTTTTACCCATCTTTCCAACTAACACCGAGTGTCTTGGCAGGGAAACTTACCTGGTCTTAATCCACTGCAGGTTCCCCCACCCTGGTTGTCAGCCTGGCACAGGGATATTTTGTGAAAACATTTACTGAATAGATAAACCCTGAGCAAGACCATGAGAGGGCCTAGGTCTTATTAGACTCTAACTAAATGCAACTGCTCATGTTTAGATATCAGTCATCTGAGACTAGATAGGAGTCATAAAATTCCTCTTCAAAACAAAAGTATTTCAGTCCCTTCTTTAATATGTGCTGACTCTAAAATTAGCTTTAGATATTACAAGTACTTTTTATAGGCACCCCACAGAAAGTTCAGACTATCACCACACAGAGATCTATGACCTGAGCTACGAAAATGAAGCAAAGGCCAAAGGAAAAATTTCAGTGACCTATAAAGACCTGAAAGGGAGATACTGAGAAYAGTGTGGTCATTTCAATTTCAGCTGCAGAATTTGCTCTTGAAAATGTACAATAAAAAATATTAATACCATAAAAACCTAACAGCAGCCAAAGGACCACAGTCATAAAGAAAAAACATAAATCCTAAAACATACTGGCATAGAAGGCTCTTTCTCACCTTCAAAAAAACCTGGATATAGACTATTAAGAGCAGTCTGAACAAGTGAAACTTCCATCACATGGCAAAGTGGAGAAAAGTGACAAGTATAATAATAACAATAAGAAAAAGAAGGACAAACAGCCACACAAAGAACGCAGGAGGTGCTGGAACGCATGCTGCCCTCATGAAGCTCCCAACAGCCTTATGAAGTAAGGGCTACTATCAAGCCCATGTTAAAGGTTAAGTGACAGGCCCAAGGTCACTGAGCAGAAGTGAACAAACATAATCTGACCCCAGAAGTTGTGGTAGGACCCAGGCAGCATGGACACCTCTGGAATGGCTTTGCCACACTCATGCCCAGCCCTCAGTCTCTCCTCCATGTAATAAAGAAAGCTAGATTCAGGATTCTTTCCCATTCAAAAGGCAGGCAACGAAATGCACAACCAAAATTCTACCATTTTGTTAAACTTTAACAGTGCCCTTCAAAAATAATCACCTCCTTGCAAAGCTGCTTTAATAGTAATATATATATAGTTTAACACTTTAAGTTCCCAGCTCAGAACAAGAACTCAATAAACAGTAGCTATTATTACTCTTATGATAAAACAGGAACAATCACTTAAAAGTAGAGTAGATTTTAATTATACACAATATGGAATAATCAAATCTCATGCATTTGAGGCCCTAGACCCACAGCATARATCGCATTGTACAGCTGAAATTATAACAACTCAAAGCTCAGAAATTACTTGTTTCCATTAGAGATCTGACAAGTCATTTCTTCAATTGGTCACTGGTGGTTTGCAGATAACTATTAGCAGTAATGAGCATTCTAAATTAAATTCAGAGACAGCACCACTCTGTTCTGTAAAGACAACTGGGAGAGAGAAACATAATTGTGGCGCGTCCTTCTCTCTGTGTCCTCCGTCTTCTCTCTGATAAATATCTCCTGTGTCTTGCATAGTATGGATTTCATTTGGTTACAAATGAAGAAGGGTCTAATTCTTCCCATGATAAATGAGAGCATACAGCAGGTAACTTGTTAAAGAGAATTGGAATTGGGAAAATAACCTTATTTTCCTGATACCTGACAACAAAATCCCTCGGCTAACAAATGAAAGACACAGCACTGGAAGACACTGGCGCACAATGACTCCTTGGTGCTGTGTGCAGGCTGCTCGCGGCCCACTCAACAGCGACCACGTCTACAAAATACCAGGGGGGTGCAAGGCACCGGAAAGAATAATGGTTCTGCAATCACTAAAAACATGGAATCCAATTCCAGCTGTGTATCCCCTCACATATCATATGACCTGAAACAAGTCTTTCCCACTCTTAAGATTCCTTGTTTGTAAAGTAGAGATAATACAAAATACCTGAAGAGTTGAAGCAAGGACTAATTAGRAACCATAAATAATGTGCCTTATGTTACTGCAAGGCATTCGACAAATGCTAGCTACCCTCAACTGTGCAATATGGAACACCCTCATCAAATACCCAAAGCTGGACCTGCAAGTGGCCCTCATATGAAAGGCTGACTGTGTGCATATGGAACAGTAGCACAGAGAATACACAGTCCCCAGAAAGGAGCTCTCTCCTGGGTCTGGTTGGACAGCGGCAGCAGGCTTGATCTGTCAGGAATAATGATTTGGCATCTCCACTTACATTCTCAAAGTCCTTCATGTTCCGTACTCTGGTGGGAGACACCTTTTCTTCTGACACTTGTGGGAGCTCTAGAAAAAGGCAAAACAGACGGAAAACGTCATGGCATGCAAACTGCCCAACATTCCCTTTAAGGCCTAGAGCCCTGAGAAGACAAGAATAGCTTCCACATGTGCCATGCTGGCGCTTCCTGCCTATTGTGATTTACTGATTCAAGTCTAGGGAAAGCTCTAAACCATTTTATTTCAACACTGACAAGGTATTTAAACTATCCCCAGTGTAACCATGCATTTCGGAGGATGCAGGCACACAGCACAGCAGATTGTACTGACATGTGCTTCCTCAACCTCTCAAGTCAGACTCTGGAACAAAGTATGGCTAACGAACTTGATAGCAGGGGCTGGCCAATTTCTCTTAAAAACACCAGACAATGACCATTCTAGGGTTTGCAGGCTACAAACAAAGCCTAAAATCTGTCACAGCTACTTGATTCCTGCAATAGCACAAAAACAGCCACAACCAATTCATAACAATGTGGTGCGTTCCAACAAGAGTTTACTTCCTAAGTCAGCTAATGGGTGCCAACAGTCAACCCCTGCTTTAGATGAGTACTGACTTTTCCAGCACCCAAGTTTTTCCACAACTTAATTCAACAAACACTTAGCAAACACCTGCTCTGCACCAAGCACCATCCTATGTGCCGGGGGACATGATGAAGACAAGATCCTGCACCCAAGGGTTCCCACAAGGGGGCAGAACAGAGAGGACAACAAACTGTGAGCATGCTGAGCCAGCTCCTGGAGCTTTGCAGGTGTTGAGTAAGCGTGTGTGGAGAAAATGAACGGATTCACTCTCCCAGCAAAGATGCGCTGAGAGCCGACTTTCTGCTAGGCAGTTTGGGATGTGGCCACATCAGGCAACAAATGGAGCTGCTATTCAGAGGAAAACAGGCAACAAACAAAATAATCAGGCAATTGCCAGATATGTTAAAAGGTAATAAAGCCATGGAGACAAAGTGAGTGAGAGTGGGAAATGCCAGGGGCGGGGTGGGCACTGCAACTGAGGAAGGCCTCACCGAGAAGGCCACGTCTGGCAGACTTGAAGGGAAGCAGCCAGTGGCCTGGAGAGGAACACTCCAGGTACAGGGAGATGCCTGAGATGGAGGGCGCCCCTGGGTTCTGAGGACCAGCCATGAGACAACCGCTAAGATCAATACACAAAGGGCACAGTAGAAGAGGAGACAGGAGAGGTTCCAGGGACAGGCTGCACATGGCCCTGTGGGTTCTTCTACAGACAGAGCTATCCCTGGGGATTGTGAGCAAGAAAGTGAAATGAGCAGACTCAGGTTTCTACGAGCTCCCTCTGGCTGCCTGGCTGAGAACAGACTACAAGGGGCTTAGGAGACTGTCGGGGTAACTCAGGGAGAATCCAGGCTGGAGGTGATGTAAGTGGATGAGGACTTGTTTCATTTGGGACATTTTAAAAGTAGCCAAGAGGAATAAATGAAATGAAGTGGAAGCACAACTACACAGGCCACAGGAGAGCCACAGAAGGGGACTAGCTTTGAGCTGAGCCCTAGAGAGACAGCAGGCAGATAAGAAGGACAGATGCCCAAACAAAGGCCCAGGGGTGGGCACAGTGTTTGGAAACTACTCAGCAGAAAGAGGCTGAGGGGTGGGCCAGGGCAACTGGAGGCACACAGGTTTGTTTTCCTGTTCCTCAAATGGGCCACGCTCCATCTCCTGTGTCAAAGACAGCTGACCCTTCTCCCCTTCTCCTTCCCTACCACGGTTCTACCCCCACCCTCCAAGTCTCAGCTCCTAGGTCAGGTTCTGCAGAAACTCTCACCTGACTCTGACCCCATAAATCTCTCTTCACACCAATCTTTCAATGTCTACCATAACTTTTTGTTTGTCAGTGTCCTGGGCTCGAGGGTAATGACATTCAAGCTTGAATCCCAAGCACTTCACCCCCAGAGTCTGGCATGAAGCCAATGTACAGACAAAGTATAGCTAACGGGCTTGACAGCAGGGGCTGGCCACTGGCTGAATTAAGGAGTGAATATAATAATTTTCTGCTTTTAACTACCTCTAGACAAGAAGAGCAGGTTTATGGGATTTTTAAGTTAATAGGTTCCAAAGGAAAACCCGAGGATGGCCTATCTGTTTCAGAATTCTCCAGAAATGACACAGTGACTGTTATCCTGGCTGCTCTAAAAACTTCCTGCTGCATATATCTATCTCATTAGTCTGGAGAGAAAGAAAAAAATCAAAGTCAAGATATCTCTAAGATAGTTCAACAAGGCAAATTACTAGTACTAACCACACAGCCACTTAGGAGGGACTTCACTCTTGCCAAAAATGGAAATTTTGAAGAATGCTGAGCAAGACCTGACTGCAAAGGCACCTCATAATCCACTCCAGCACAAGACCCCACTTGACTCAGCCACGTCCTGTGCGCTCTAGCAGCCATGTGAAGGACGGGCTGAGCAGCATTGGCCGCAGCCGGCTGACAGAACCCAGCAGCTGCCTGCAAGGCCTTGGCACGCACAAGTCCRGACGGCAACTCTTCAGGCCTCCAGCCACTCGGCCTGGAGAACAACAGACTCCGCGTGTGAGGTCTAGCCACCAGCTCCATGTCCAGCTTCCATGCAGCTATTCAGTTCGGCAAGCCCTAGCTGAATCTCTACAGGCGTGGCAGCAGGCAACTGCACCCRTGAAGTACTGCCTCGGACATGCACTCCTGAGTTTGCCCAGCGTCTATGAAGGGAGGTGGAGGGCAGATCAACACATCTGTACTGTAAAATGCTGAGCACTGGCTGTGTACCAAGCCTGGTGGGCTGTAGACCCAGAGGGATGGAAGTTCAGCCCCGGGCCTCAGGGCACTTGGTCCATGTCTGCTTCCCTTGTTCTCAGTCAAAAAGTGACTGCTTTGTGTGCTTACCTCCATTTTCCAATCCAACACAGGTATTGATGCCATCCAGGTCATCTGGGCAAGCAGGAGCAAGGTCACTAGGAAAGAACACACAGGGTAAAAGAGGAGCCAGGTTTGCACAACAGAGACTGTTCAGACTGCCGAGATATGAATGGCATCACCAGGCCACAGCTGAGAGGGACACACAGCCCAGCTACCTGGGAGGCAGGAAGCTCAGGCACTGGGGCCGAGTTCCGCCTCAGAACGCAATTCCAGCTCTAACATCAGGAGCTGTGTGACCGATCCCTGCTAGATGGGTCATTCATGCATTCCTTCACACATCTAATGTTCCATGTGCCAAATGTGTGCTGGGTGCAGAGGCACTGTGCCAAGTACACGGTAATTACATAAATTTTATGAGTAGAATGCTGTAGTCTACCTGCGAAAATTAGTCAATTTAGGTACATAAACACAGCATATAGTAGGTCCTAAATAAATGACATCTATTGTTTTGTTATCATCATTATTATTATCATAAATATGCCTGCAATGGTCTAGATATTAGGTGTCCCCAAAAAGCTCATGTATGAGACAATTCAAGAAAGTTCAAAGTTGAAATGATGAGATCCTTAACCTAATCAGTGCATTAATCCCCTGATACCGGTTATTTGGGTGGTAACTGTAAGCAGGTAGGATGTAGCTGGAGAAGGTGGGTCACTGAGGGCAGGCCTCTAGGGTTTATATTTTGTCCATGGTGAGGTGAGTGCATTCCCTCCTTCCCCCCACCCCTCTCTCTCCCCACCGGGAGGCCATGTCCTGAGCTGCTTTCCTCCACCACTCTCTTCCACCATGATGCTCTGCCTCTCCTGGAAACAGCTGACTATAAATAGAGATCTCTCAAATCAGGAGGACCAAATAAACTTCTCCTCCTCTAAAACTGTTCTGGTCAGGTCTTTTGGTTGCAGCGGTGAAAAAGCTGGCTGAAACAATGCCATTTCAACCAAAATTTAAAACTCTGGGAATCAGGCACCAACTTAGATGCCTTAAGAATGTCAGACGGCTGGAGTACAGCTCAGTGGTAGAGTTTGCATATCATGCAAGGCCCTGGGTTGGACCCCCAGCTCCAAAGCAAAAGAATGTCAAACAAAAAAGCAGAATCCACTCATCCAAGATGTTTTACTGGTTGAGTTATATAAATAGGTTCAGTGAGGATTTAGGGATTTAGACCATAACTGGAGGTATGATTTGACACAACAGAAACTGCCCTGGGTTGTAGCACAGCCTCTGCAGGTACCTCTCCAAGCCTGGCCCCTTCAGCTGTAACAGGAGAAAAGCAGTACTTCATAAAGTAATGGGCAATCAAACAAGATACAAAGTGCCCAGCAATGTACTTGGCATATTGTGGACCCTCCATAAGCAGGAGAAAAACATCACTGTCATCTTGAAACACATAATGTTTTACAATTTATAATTCATGAAATATTTACCATCGTTAGAACTGCCCAATTCCCTGAGGGTTCATGCATTTTTCAAAGGAAGGCTCTGAAGCCCAGACAATGTCAGTGTACTAGCCAGAGTCACATGGCTGTGGAGAACCAAGTCCAGAATCCAGGCCTTTTATGTCTATTGCCTAATAATGCTTCCCTGACCCAATCTGAAAAACTCAGAGCTGATGGAGGCTCAGCTCAGCTTCTCAGCAGATTGCTCTTTCCTGCTTCTAAATCCAAATGCATTCTGCCCTCTGATAATTTTGCCTGATCACCAAAATATGGAGTTGAAATCAATCTTTAAGTTCAGGACTGAGCCAAAAATTGAAACTATCATAAAAACCCAAATCCAACATCAGGAAAATAAAATATGTCTGCTATAAAGATTAATTAAAAACTTGGAGTAATCCTCAATCCTGAATACATAAATGTACACAAATGTCACCCCAAATCCTCTTTTAGAATGGGTGGGCCATAAATACATACCCAGACAAAAGAAATACACTGAAATATTGAAAATCATCATTTGTAGGGAAATGAGAGATACTTTCTTCCTTTTTAATTTTCTCTAATTTATTAATTTCTTCCAATAAGCATCACCAAAGGTCAAAGTCCATTTTCTACACTGAATTTCAAAAATTAAAATCAAGTTCAACTACCATCTTATACAGAGAGTGGCGCAAAAGCACAAGTCACATACAAGGTTACTGGCCAGGCTTACCCTGGAGTCTGGTCCTAGATCTTTGACCGAGATTCATTCTGCCAGGACCATTACATTAACTCCCACTGGCTGGAACAGCCCATGAGTAACTCAAGCCAAGGTCAATCACACCTGAAAACTACCTGGCAGACAAAGACAAAGTTGTCTCGGCTTCCAACAGGCAAACACTGAAGCTGCCAAATTTTACCTGCCTGCTCTCAAAACGCTATCTATCTGTCATCTGCACCCTCCAGTCAGTTCCAACTACACCTTCCCATTCTGATCACTCCCTCACTCTTGGCCTTAGAATAAGGTTGGGGCCTCATGGAGAGCCCTGGAAATTAAACAAGATCATCAAAAGAGGGCTCAGACATGAGTTCATCCTTTCATAGGTGGACAAATGAAGTCCAGAAGGTAGAGGAACTTATCTACTCAAAATCACAAAGGGTTAGTGAGCCAAAACCCAGTTCCTGGTGCCACATCCCTGCCTGGGCTGCCCAAAGCCACTAAGTAACATGACACATGGTAGAGTGCCAGTTTCCTCACGTGCAAAGGTAAGCAATCAGAAGAAACCCACCCTGTCGGGCACCCTCACCGTGCAGGTATCCTGGGCAAGACAGGGCAGGCAGCCTCCCACCTAGTCCTCATCACAGCCTGCTGAGCTTTCTAAAACTTCCTAAAATGCTGCCATTTTGTTTAAAATGAGAAAACAAAGGCCCAGAAAAGTAAAGCTACAAAACTCAAGCTGGCCCAACTTCAAATCCCATTCTCTGTTCCTCTACATCACCCTGATGTCCCCAACACCTTCCTGGGGTGTGGTGGGGGACCCAATGCATGGAGGCAGAGGGCTTGTGGTGCTTGGCACAGGGCATACACTGGTATTCTGGACTTTGCTGAGTGAGCGAGTGCCCCCCCACACCCCCGTGCAGCTGCACCTCCTCTCTCCTCTCCGGCTCCATCACCGCCCTAGGGGAGGCCTCCCCTCTGGGCTTCTATTTGCCAGCAACAATCGTCCTTTCACTTCACAAGAATCCAGGACCCAGCRTTTCACTGACAGTGCAGGAGAGCCATGGAGGGAACTGGACATCACGTTCGGAAACATCACACCAACAAGTGTGCCTTTGTTTGCCTTTTAACAATTCCTTTTTCATCCCATGAGATTCATTCTTAATTAGAGAAAAACATAAATACAAAACTCCAGCTACACCTAAAGTTCTCCCTGACCACTCCTCACGCCCACTTCAGTTTCCCCTCAGCAGTAACCACTGACGTCAGAAGATGCACATCGGATCCTCCAGGCCCTTCTCTAGACATGGGGTTTTATTTCCTAGCATAAAGAGAAAACAAATGCGGACCAACTATACATACTATTCTGCAACATTTTTCCTCTACTAAAAGGTGTCCTGAAGATGTTCTGATGACAGTACTAACGTGTGTGCTTCAATATTTGTAACTCCCACAAAGCATTCCACAGCACTGTTTTTCAAACTTTACTGACCACGATCAGTCCTTAATTCCAGAACTACTTTCTATTCTGTTTCACTTTTTAAAGGTCTGGTTGCAACCAACTAAACTGAATTGCATGAGCTACCAATGGGTCACAAACAGTCTGAAAGGCACTTTTGAAAGGATGGGTATTTACCCAATCTCCTACTGATAGTAACTCAGTTTGTTTCCATTTTTCTTTTACAAACAAGCTGTATGTGTACAGGTCTCACTGTGCACATGTATGAGGGTTTCTCTAAGATTGATAGCAGGCAGTGGAACTTCTGGGTCAAAACATAGGCACAATTTTAAAACCGGACAAAGGATTTGATTAAACATTTCACCAAAGAAAACACAAAGGGCTAATAAACACATAAAAAAATTATTTAATATGGGGGCCAGGTTTGTGGCTCAGTGGTAGAGCACCTGACTAGCATGCACGAGGCACTGGGTTCAATCGCTGACACCACATAAAAATTTTAAGAAGAAATAAAATAAAGGTATTGTGTCCATCTACAACTAAAAAAATCTTTTTAAATACTTAATATGATTAGTCATTACAGAAATATAAAGCAATTCCACAATGAGATAGCATGTCACACCTCCAATGGAGGTTATAAAAAGACAAAAAAATAACAAGTGCTGGTGAGGATGTGAATAAAACTAGAACCTTCAAACCCTGCTTGTGGGAGAGACAAATAGCGAGGCTACTTTGGAATAGTTACGCAGTGCCTGAAAATGATACCGAGTTCCCAGAAAGCTCAGCAAACCCCCTGGGCACATGCCCAAGAGAAATGAAAATATATGTCCATACAAAAACTTGTGGACAAAGCCAGGCATAGGGGCACAACCCCATAATCCCAGCTACTCCAGACACTGAGGCAGRAGGATTGCTAAGTTCAAGGCCAGCCTCCAAAACTTTGTCAGACCCTGTCTCAAATTAAAATAAAGAGGGCTGGGGTGGCTCAGTGGTAGAGCTCCTGCCTAGCATGTAGTAGGCCTTGGGTTCGATTCCCAACACTGTAAGAGAAGGAGAAAGAGAAGAATAAATTGTACATAATAGCAATGCTATTCATAATAGATTTAAAAAATAAGCAACCCAAATGTTCATGAACATGAATGACTAAACAGTGTGTGGTACCTGGGTACAATGGAAAGTTATTTGACCATAAAAAGAAATGAAGTACTGATACATGCTACAACATGGATGAATCTCACAAAAGACTCCGTGTGTGCGTGTGTGTGCGTGTGTTTTGCTGGGGATGGAACCCAGGGGACCTGGAATGCTAGGCAAGTGCTCTATTACTGAGCTACACTCCGAGTCCTAAAGATCATATATTGTAAGTTACCATTTATATGAAACATCCAGAACAGGGAAATCAAGTGACAAAAAGCAAACAGTGGTTGCACAGGGCTGAAGTGGGCG